GGGGGGGGGAATCATTGCCAGCAAATCTAAAGGCAGAAATGAATAAAATCTCTTGGCCACTGAAAAATTACTGGAAAATTACTGAAGAATTTAAATGGACAAAATTTTTCTCTTGTAGGGATGGATTTGTTTAATTTTATTATTCTGTACTGGATGACTGGCTGATGAATGTGTGAACTCGATTACAGGGACAAAGCATTATTCATGACAGAACATGCTAACTGTTCATCTACCACTAGGTGGTAATATTTAACCACCTGCAAAAAACCCAAACCAAAACAAAAGAGTAAAACACTGTTTCATGCTTTTATTTGGGCAAAATGATGCCATATCTCCTCACTACATATTTTTAATTTACAATGAGTTCTAAAATAAAACAAAACAAAACATGTAATTACTTTGAAAATTAGCTTGCTGGATTAATTACTTCACAGTCTTATACCAACACTTAGTGGCAAGTACAGTTGAATTCAAGGAGGCTTAGTTCTTGATTTTCTTTCTCTCTTTCTAAGTAATAGTTTTAAATAGGAATTGTGAATTGGGATTTATTATGCACAGGTGGCAGAATGATATAAATAATTGTTTTACAGGATGAAATCAGTAATTTTTAAATTACGGCAGATGAGAATACTTTTTGCCATGGCACAGATTTGAGGAAAGAAGAGGATGCCAAGCTAAATTGTGTGTGATCTTCTTGTGATAGGCTCTTGATTATCGGTGGCTGTGAAGTGGATGATGATGGAGCTGGAATGTCTAAAGCGGGTAGTTGTGGTTTGTCAGTATGGAGAGTTCTTTCTGGATCACCCTATTATAAGCAGGTTACTAATTATGAAGACGATGTTGGGATTGTAAGTATAAATGAAGTGTATTTGGACCATTTGTATCTATTTTCTCTCATTTGATCTCCCATCAAAAGCATTGGACTAAAGTCCCTACAATTCATTAACAGTGGGCAGTCCCTGCATTTGAAGTTACATTAAGCCATAATAAATGTGTAGTGCTCCAAACAGAGCCAACACTTCGCTTTGTTAAGGAATTATTCAGAGGTTGCGATTGTATGATATTCTTACTCTTAAATTAATTTCAGGTAGACAGTTGGGTGTGCAGAGGGAGAACATAGCAGTAAGGAGTGATCATCATCTGAGTATATGTACATTGACTATTACATCTTAGAATAGGGATGGGCAAAATTTTCAACCAAGATCTACATTTAGGCTCTTCTTCTTTGGTAATGACAAAAGGGGCATAACAAATGGCACAGTATGGGGCATGGCTGAACATTTCAACCAGTGTTGTTTTTTTTTAATTGTTGGAGGGAAATTGATGTATTAAGCCCAGCAGAGGTCAAATACCTCTTTTTAGGATTGAGGTATTTTGTGGATGGTGATTATTTTATAAAAAGACAAAATCATACTATCCAAATTCAGCAACTTGGTGAGCGAGGGCCCTCCAAAATCTGCATTATGTACTATGGACTTAGCTTGGCTTGATATGCAGATTTAAGCACTGGGTTGCTGTTGAATTTTCTAGCACACCACCAAAGTCATTTCCTATCAGTCACTGTCAACTCAGCCCCCATCAAGTTCTGCTGCCTTCTGTATTATTGAATGATTTGTGTATTGAACTATATAAGTGTTTTCTTTCACCAAATCTCCTTGGGGAAAAAACCTAGGGTATGGGATGCTTCTAATTGCTAGCAAGTTTTTAAAACAATAGAGTTGGATGGTTTGGGGGGGGAAATGGCTCTTACTATGCAAACGTGCTAGAAGAGTTACAAATTAGGGGGAATGTCTGTTTATTGGCCTTACAAAAATGACTAAAAGATTGAATCTGGTTATACTAAAGTGTTATATATGTCAAATGTATCATCATGATTTATATTGGAAATAGACATCTGGAACCTGCTGTAAATATGCAATTAATATTAAGTGTCTTGTTTCTTCTGATGTTTTGGATTTTATATCCATAAGGGCCTGCCATCATAGTTAACAGAAGGATTGGGGGAATGGTAGACCTAAACATCTGCAGAGCACCAGGTGTCCTCTATGTGTTGTAAAAAAAGCACAGTAAGAAGTCAATCCATATTCTTTTCTAGTTATTGAATGAGTCTAGAATGTTCTAGGAAAGGTTACAGTATCAATACTCATGATCCCTACTGCTGTAATTTCTATTGTATAGGAATTTCCTGAAGTCTACATATGTATTTTATATATATATTTTTTTGAATTGATTCTTTTTGCTTTTAGCTTCTGGCAGAAAGAAAGTGAATTTAATACAAGTTTGTTTTTAACAGGCCAAGAAAAGTTCATTGTTCAAGATCTTTCATCTTTCATTTTACAACAGGCAAGGAAGTGAAAAGGTAATGGAAAATACACAAGAGTCGTTGATTATTAGATTCCTATGCTTCTAAGGAAGGTACATTGTCAGATATATTCTTGATTATGATTGCCATCTGGCTGTTCAAAAACAATATAATAGTGATAAAAGAGGCTTAATTAAATAAAGATGAAATTAATCAGTTTTGGGTCCTTGAGTATGAAAGAAACTTTAGCTACTGTTTCAAACTTGTGTAGATTTAGTGGAACCTATTCATCCTCCTGCAGCTTATGGGCCAGGAATCTGATCCTGCTTGAGGGTTAAACATTTGGATCTGATGAAAATTATATACAGGGGTAACATCAGAATAACGGCATGGTACTTTGAAGTTTTCGGTTAGTTTGCTTGGCTGTTCTCCGGACGTATGGTTCGTTGAACTCAATATTTCTTGCTTTTGAGTAAGCATGCCTACGATTATGCAGTCATGAACAACTGTTTCAGATTTTATACTGTGGAAACTCTTGAATGAGAAATATATCTTCTTTGAAAGTGGGAAGAAATGTGTATTGTGATGTTCTAAATTTTTTTTCTTCCTGTTCTAATCATTAACTGAAATACTGGATAGGATGGTATCTTCAAGATGAGCCTTTCTCCAGACAACACTCGCCTAGCAGTTATACACTTCTCAGGAAAACTGACTATTTGGCGCATTCCTTCTTTGAAACAACAAGGAGAATGGGAACAAAGTGACCAGGTATGTGGCCATACCCAGTGACTTGCATGGGATTTCTTCTTCTTTGGAAGTAGTGGTGATATTTTTTAGTGTGGGAGAGATATATCTAAAATGGAATGATGTTTTAAAAAATAACTTCATTTGTTCCATATTGAAAAAAAAGGCTAATTAGAACTTATATCCATCCAAGAAACTTACACAGATTTAATAAATAATTGGGCTTGGCTACTTTAGCGGTGAGCCCCTTTAGATTTGGTAGGATTTTCTTATAGTATGGCACATATAGGAAGAATAGACTACCTAATGTTCTTCCAGATGTTTTGGGCTTCAGGCTTATTAGACTCTATGGGTCTGCTCAGTGGTTGGGAATTATGTAAATTGTGGCCCAAAACACCTGGTAGAATCAGGTTGTCTGTCCGCAGCATATAGGCTTGCAGCCAAACTCAATATGATTAATGAAAAAATTATTTTAGTCGGAGGACAACAGTACAGTTTGAGGCAGAATTATGTGTAGCTTTATGCATTCAACTGCTGCATTTAAAAGTTTTGTATTCTGCTTACTATAATTTCCAGAGATTAATAATTGCAAAAAACTGCAGCCAAGCTCACCACCTACCTACTCAACTTTGCTCATCTGATTTATGTCATAGTAACAAAGTTAATATTTGGAAAATTGAATTGTAATAAACTGTATATCTGGAAAGACACTATAGAGGCATAAACCTTCCTTTTTTCAGTATGGAAGAAAATGAGATGCTTAAAACATAGGTGCAACAATATTTCATTTATAAAGCATTTTCAAAAGAATCTTTCAAATTTCAAAAAATAAACTTTGTTTTATTTCATTTAGGCTTCCTATGATTTGGATGCAAAATCAGCTGTCTAGTTCATATATAGGTAGTACTCGCTTAATGATGATAATTGGGACCAGCAACTCCGTCGCTAAGTGATGCAGTCATAAAGTGTGATGTCATGTGACCGTGCTGACTTACAACGGCAGTTCCGGCACTTCTGGTTGCTATTGTTAAGCGAATCCCACATGGTTGTTAAGTGTGATGTCACGTGATTGTCATTTGCGACCTCCTGCCAGTTTCCCCATTAACTTTGCTTGTTAGAAGCCGGCAGTGAAGGTCACAAATGACAATCACGTGACCTCAGGATGCTGTAAGCATTGTAATTACAGGCCATTTACCAGGCGCCCAGATTGCAATCACATGACTGTGGGGACACTGTGATGGCAGCAACTATGAGGACCAATCATAAGTCTCCTCGTTCAGCACCATTGTAACTTCAAATGGTTGCTGAAAGAGTGGTCACTAAGCAAGGACTACCTGTAAATAAATATGGGTATGATCAGTCTCAGCAGGCTTAATCCTAGTTAGCTACAATCACATCCTTTCGTTATTCACCTATGCAAGTTTAAATAAAGCACTACCACAGTCAAGTATCTAAATAGTAGACTTTAAAAAGAAAAAAAAAGGTAGAAAAATCCTGGAATTAATATGTATTTAGTTACCTAGAAATCAGAATTTACATATATTCTTTTTCTGTGTAGCACCTTAATTGTACAGTTTGTTGGAAAGTAATTCTTAGTGGTTAAGATTTTAATTTGCATTAAATTATGTGTCACCCTGTTATTCATTAATATTCTTTCTTTATGTATGCTATTCTGCCCAGCATATCTGTAACCCTTTTAGCAAGAGGGAGTGGGGTAGGGCTTGGGATTAGCTCCTGATAATCAATGCTCGCTGACGTCTGGATGCATTTGTGATCACTTCTTATGTTATGCTTGAAGAAAAAAGAGCTAGATGAAAGGAAAAAAATGTTTAAAAACTAGAACAATGGTAATACATCATTCATGTTACAGTAGAAATTTGAGATTGTCATTTTTCCTCTATTTTTTAAAAACTTCCGTTGACATCGATAAAAGCAGAGTGGGGTTGGTTGGTAGGTTGGTTGGTTGGTTGGTTGGAAACAGGAGACTTGGAACAACATTTTGTCCAGTCCAAGCCTGACCATTGACAGGAACAAGGTTTAGATTTTTAGTTTTCCTAAATTGGATTTAATTCATATGTTACTTTTGGATAATTCTTCTGACTGTTAATATATTGAATTAGGACTAATTGCCTCTGTTATGTCTGTAAAATAGCCATCTACAGTGGCGCTTAGAAGTTTGTGAACCCTTTTGAATTTTCAGTATGTCTGCATAAATATGATCTGTTCTCCACACAAGTTCTAAAACTAGATAAAGAGATCATTTTCCTCAATAAATAAATGAACAAATATAATGTTTTTGACTCATTTGTTAATTGGGTTCTCTTTATCTAGTTTTAGGACATGGAGATCACATTTTAAGTCATATTTATGCAGAAATATTGAAAGTTCAAAAGGGTTCACAAATTTTTAATCACAAAGGAATCAATAAAAATGGTCTTCGCTCATTGTAGAGTTGGCTGGTATGGTTATTCTGGGATTCCCAGTCTCTGTCATTGCCCTTTTCTTCATTAATTTGCATGTTCTCTCCAATATTTAAACGGAGAATTGTATTATTGTTTCAGGAGTCATGACTTCTAGAGTCATCCTACTTTAGCCTAACAGGAAAATGTATGAAGGGATTATGTTCCTATATAATTCTTAGATTTAGCGCTGCAGTCATTAGCAATTTCTGCAGCTTAATGCTATATTTGAAGAGATAATAGAGAACACTCTTCATTGTGTACTGGTCGATGACCATAATAAATTTTAAATAAAATTAATGAATAAACATTCTTTATTGAATGAAATCTTCATTTGTCCAAATCCTTGTTTGTGTCCCTAGTGCTGAAGCAAAGACATGGCATGTTGCAGATGCCTGTGGAATAAAGAAAATAAGTTTTAAGTAAACCGAGTTGAGATAACGTTTTCAAAGCTATGCAGTACTTTTCACATAAGACTTGGAAAAGAGAAGGAAGGAGCATCATGGCTACCAGCCAGCCTAATTTATGCAAAACCAGTGCTTTCAACATTCTTTTTAATGAAGATATTTGTCTTGTCTGTCTGCCTTGTCAGTAGATGAAGAGATGTAGTGAGTAGATGTGAGTGTTCGGTGGTGAAATAGTCAAAACAGAAATAGGTGGCTAATAGTCTGATACTATGCTGTATTCCAATTTTTTTTATATTATCCATTTTTTAATAAAAAATTATCATAGTTCCACAGCAATCTTGCTGGGGGGGCAGGCCTGAAGTGAAATCATAGACTCTTATTAGGACTGTGCAGAGATCTAGGTTCATGGAGCAAAATGTGATTTGAAATGTGCATGGGTGTATAGTATCTATAGTTACAGTGGGACAAAAAAGTATTTAGTCAGCCACCAATTGTGCAAGTTCTCCCACTTAAAA